ACCCGTGGTGGGCAGATAACAGATAGCCCATTGTGTAGCTTTGTGCATAAATTCAAACAAGCAAGCTCTCACACACACATGTATATACAAAACAATTATAGTATAAAACTGTTGAAGAAAATGAAATATTATTTGTTTTTTATTAAGCACTAAGCTACACAATAGGGTATTTAAGCTGTGCCAAACGCGGGTATCAAAACCTAATTTTTAGCGTTATAATATGAAATCAGTAAAACGAATTGCATATGGGGAACTGAAATATTTAGTCATTTCTGACCTAAAGGTATGTTTGATTCTTTCGGAGATTATTGGGATTCAAAAAAATGTTCTTACATTTGGGATCATGATCACCATTTTAAGCAGAATAAAGAAATAATTATTTGATCTTATTTTAGTTTGATAAAAACCTAACATTATCTGTCTTTTTTTTTCTTCTTAGCTTGTCAATTTTATCCATTAGCTGAGAATCGTCGGTTCGAACGAGTCATTGAAAATATACCAGTAGGTGAGTAAAAATATACCAGTAGGTGTATAAAACTTTACCAATAGGTGAGTAAAAACATACTAGTAGGTGAGTAAAAAATTTACCAGTAGGTGAGTAAAAATATACCAGTAGGTGTATAAAACTTTACCAGTAGGTGAGTAGAAATATACCCGTAGGTGAGTAAAAAAATTTACCAGTACGTGAGTAAAAATATACCAGTAGGTGTATAAAAATTTACCAGTAGGTGAGTAGAAATATACCAGTAGGTGAGTAAACAAATTTACCAGTAGGTGAGTAAAAATATATCAGTAGGTGTATAAAAATTTACCAATAGGTGAGTAAAAATTTACCAATAGGTGAGTAAAAACATTTACCAGTAGGTGAGTAAAAATATACCAGTAGGTGTATAAAAATTTACCAATAGGTGAGTAAAAATATACCAGTAGGTGAGTAAAAATATACCAGTAGGTGAGTAAAAACATTTACCAGTAGGTGAGTAAAAATATACCAGTAGGTGTATAAAAATTTACCAATAGGTGAGTAAAAATATACCAGTAGGTGAGTAAAAAAAATTACCAGTAGGTGAGTAAAAATATACCAGTAGGTGAGTAAAAAAATTTACCACTTGTTTCACTTATTTCTTTGTTAATAATTTCTGTTTCACTTATTTCTATGTTTATAATTTCTTTGTTTCACTTATTTTTTAGTCAATAATAAATCTGTTTCACTTATTTATTTGTTAATAATTTCTTTCTTTCGCATATTTTTATGTTAATAATTTATTTATTCTACTTATTTCTATGATAATGATTTAATTGTTTCACTTATTTTTAGATCAAGAGATTTTTCGTTTACAAGTATTTCCAAGGCATAGTTTCAAAATTGAAGCTGTGGACAACAGCCTTAGTGACACCAGGTATTTCAAGTACCAGGAGCTAGACAAACATTCAATAGCCATCAAAGTTGCCAAATCTCTAGATGATTTGGTTGATAGGGTAAGTTTACTGCAACAGCCAAATATTTATATGAGTTAGTTGATATGATAAGCTAACTGCAGCTGCTAAGTCTCTAGGTTAGCTGTTTGATGTTGTAAGTGGATTGAAACTGACAAATCTGTGGATAAGTTGGTTGACAAAGTAGGTACACTGAAGCTGTCAAATCTATAGATTAACTTCTTGACAGAGTGAGTGTACCAAAGTCTCTAGATGAGCTGGTTGCCAGGGTAAGTGTTCTGAAGGTGACAAGTCCCTAGATTAACTTGTTGACTGGATAAATGTTCTGAAGGTGACAAGTCCCAGATTAACTTGTTGACTGGATAAGTGTTCTGAAGGTGACAAGTCTCCAGATTAACTTGTTGACTGGATAAATGTTCTGAAGGTGACAAGTCCCTAGATTAACTTATTGACTGGATAAGTGTTCTGAAGGCGACAAGTCCCTAGATTAACTTGTTGACTGGATAAGTGTTCTGAAGGTGACAAGTCTCCAGATTAACTTCTTGACTGGATAAGTGCTCTGAAGGTGACAAGTCTCTAGATTGACTTATTGACTGGATAAGTGGTACCTTATTGAACTGAAGTGTTTGTTATATAGACTCATATGGACTTAATACGCACTAAAAGAATATAAGCTAAGAAGTTATAGACATGATCATTTTTATCAATAATTCCTTAGTTTTACGTAAGACCACAAAGGTTATAGCTAGGTTATTCCTACCACCACCGGTGGTAAGAACAATCTAGCTATAACCTTTGTGGTCTTATATATTACTGCTATATAAAGTGTTTTATCTGTTAAAGTGTTTTATCTGTTATAGCAGTAATATATATAAGACCACAAAGGTTATAGCTAGATTATTCCTACCACCACCACAGATAAAACACTTTATATAGTAATAATATATAAGACCACATAAGTAGAGTTATGTTAAGAACTACCCTAGCTTAGCTCCCCACCCCGTAATTTTAAACTGATATATTAGAGAGAAGATAGCTATCCAACAACACCCTCCACCAACTCTTAGGATATTCTTGTCCGATCCAGTGGAAAGATTCAAAGTCACTCGTACGGGACTCGAACCACTAACCTTCGGATTTACAGTCTTAACACGTTAACCACTAGGTCATGCCTGATTCTTTCGTTTCAGATGCTTTTATTTTAGGCTTACCTTCCATAACTTTGCTTTCGAAAATGTCATTACATTTATTTGTGCTTCATTTTTACAGTTGCATGGAAAGATAATCCAAATGTGTAGCTGGTAAGGTTCCATGCCAGAAAGCAGCTTGTTTTAAATCAAGTTTTTTGCTCAAGACCTTCATTAGGCTTAGTTAACACCTCCATTTTACAAAGCCGTCATAGCGTTTAGTTTCGCCCAGTGTGTGCGTATTCACCAAGTATTCTTCCTGATGTAATTCGATTCCCGCGTTTAGTTCCAAGGCTAAAAGTTAGTGTGCAATAAAATTTTCTTGTTGATTCGCTTTGTTGCTACAAAAATAAATGCACGCTGTTAATATACGAACGGCAATACATTCAGAGAAAGACAATAGTAATATAGGTAATTATTTATGCTATAGGCCTTGAAATAAAAGTTCCTGTTTCTTTCGTGAGTTCTAAGTTATTTTACACAGGAAAGTTTAATTATTTGATCACGAGTTTAATATATCTGATTTTTTAAACAAAATACATAGAGGGAGTTGTTGGGCATGCCAAAATCTTCGTTACGAGGTAATCAGTTGTTATTTTTTTCTGATTATAAAATGTGAATTATCATAGTTTAACCTCAATGTTCACTAACGATTGAATTTTATGGGAAACTAACCTGGGTAGTTTTGTTTTTTGTTATTGTTGTTGTGAGTCAGTTTACACCTACAACACCTTCACTGGGAAGCCATTAATGTGTTTGGGTGGTTTATTTACACGTATGATAATTATTTATTTACATACTAGACGGCGCCATTTGATTTGAATTTTAAAAAATATTAAACTTTTTTTCAGGCTAGTGACTTTACTAAAATGTAATTATGTTTTTGTTACAGAGAGAACCACGCAGCGTTCTTAAATTCAAGTTGAAATGTAGAGGCGACAGTAGAACGGTGAGTTGGATTTCTAAGCCATATTTAAAAACTCCCTGAGGGTTTTACTTAGAAAAGAGCATATGGGTACGAGAATAAGCACGAACGATGACTCAGAACTTTTGTATCGAAGCCTAAATTGTACGATTTTAATTCGATATCGAAAGAATAATATTTTAGTTCATGTTCTTTTGACGATCATCTTATCAACTACATGTATAGAAAAACACAGTAGGAAAGACCGCAAGACGTGGGAAAAAAAAATAATTAAAAAAAATGTTCAAAATTGGTAAAACACACGTTTAGGACAAAAACTTTTTTATTTATTTGTAACGTTTCGGGCAAAAGCCCTTCGTCAGGCGGTTTAAATCGTCTTACATAGAAAAAAGGCTTAGACATAATCGTTGAAGGGTTAGGGTATAAAGAGATTCTAAATTACGTACGTACTGCGTGAAGCATGTTAAAACAATATTGTTAGAAGGAAAACTGTTGAAGTGGTTCTATATTTTTATCAACTGTATAAATCGCTTTTTATCGTGTCATTTATTAAAGATGGCACTCACGTAGCTTTCTTCTCTTCTTCAGTTCATGTTTCCTTTAAAAGTTTGTTAATCTTCTCTTTCAACTTTGAAAGAAGACGTCTTCTAGAATTCATGTCTTTTTTTCGGGTTCATTTTCAGCAAAAATTCTTTTATTTTAACTTATTTCTTCCTATGTAATTTTCTCAGTTTTTCTTCGGGTTGGGTAAAAATAGGTTCATTATTATAATTATTACGTTAATCGGTATTAAAAAAGTTTCCCTTCATTACGGACTTACAACGCTGAAATCCTGGGTTCGATTTCCCACTGATAGCCTAATATCGATTTGTTCAAAAACAAACTTACAAACTCTCATTTTTTTTATTCACGAAAAAATTTAGTTGTTTTTTCCCCGTTATTTTTTATTATCACTTTTCCTGTATGAGTTCTTCCTCCGTTATTTTTTAGTATAATTTTTCCTGTATGAGTTCTTCCTCCGTTATTTTTTAGTATAATTTTTCCTGTATGAGTTCTTCCTCCGTTATTTTTTAGTATAATTTTTCCTGTATGAGTTCTTCCTCCGTTATTTTTTATTATCATTTTTCATGTATTTACAAAACAACTTTTAGTTGTGTTTTTTTTAAAAGAAACGTTGGTAAATTTATTCTTTGTTGTAGGAAGAAGTCTTCTTGCCTGTCACAGTTTACATAGAAGATATCAATGACCACGCTCCACAGTTTCAGAACACGCCATATCGTCTGGCCGTCGACGAGGTAATGCATGTTGGGAACGTCTGTAAAGTAGTTTTAATGTTAACTTGGCTAATTACATAACTCGACAGGTCAATATTTTAAAACACTAAAATCAAACAAAAACACGTAATGGAATTATATCGTAACCTACTTGTACAAGATAGTACCTAAGCTACGTCTGTAACGTACAGATAGTTTTATTTGTATTTTCTGTTATACCCTATCTGTACCGTGTTCGCAGCTCAGAACTTAAGCTTCGATCCATTGTTTTGATTTGATCGTTATATATTTGTAACATCTTGAAGTGTCTAGTAATTCTACAGAGGACAAGAATGACTACTTTTTTTTTTTAATTGTAGCTGACTCCTGTCGGGCTTACCATTTTCCGGGGGATTAATGCTATAGATCGCGATAAACCCAATACCGCCAACTCTGACGTCACATATTCCATTGTGGTAAGTGGACCATGGTCACTATGTATTCGTATAACAGACTGTGTTGAATAAAATTTTTCTACATAAATTTCTTTTTTTCTTCAATATTACGTGGTTATGCACACCGTATTATAAAACAAGTGAATATAAAGCTGATTATCGTTTTCTTCTTTTGTTTAAAAAAATATCATTTTGGAACAAATTTGGTAAACCTTTTACTTTTAACTGAAGCATTATCTTTGTACAACAGGGAGGAAACGAAGACAACTCTTTCGTTCTCTCAGACCCGATAGAGGGCGCTCTACTGGTGAACAAACCTTTGGATTTTGATCACGGAATTCGAGAGTTTAAGCTACAAGTTCAGGCTACGGTAAGCATCCGGATTACTCGTTAAATCTCAGAAAAAAGATGCACGTTCAGGTCGTGAAAATAATTAACAAATCACCACGTCGTTCTTTCTGAACTTAATTTCAATTAATTTCTTCCTATTTCGTTTGAAAACAAACGAAACTTTCCTGTTCTGAGAGCAAAACAACAACAACAACAAAAAAACAGTAACAATAAAGTCAACCAGACCTCCAAATAATAAACACATTGGTATGAAATGAATATTTCCTAAAAGAAAAAAATAGATCCAAAGAAAGGGGAGACCACTAGCCTCTTTATAAAATGCTTTAAGTACGTATATTGATTTAGACTACTGCTTACGAGGGTAAATCCAAAATATTTAAAATCAGGGTATAGTCAAGAATAACTTTCAAAAGTTCTAGTGTGATTTCCAGGTACATTTATTACTAATCTTTTATTTTAAGTTTCAAAACAAAATAATTATGATAATATATTTCCGCTTCATGATAGATTTAGAGTATATGCTCACAGAAACCAGGAGAATATACCAGTTTTGGAGAATTCCACTCCTCATCAGTAACCCTGAACACAAGTTAACCAAAGAAAGATAAGCTGGGCCTACCTATGTCATAGTGAAACAGTATCAAACATACTGTTGGCTTTAACGTGCTTCGTAATCACTGTGAGAAAAAGTTAGTATATTATTGTAACTGAAAGAGAGGCGAGTCTTCGCGAATTAAAACAACTAAAAATTATTTTTGTCTTCTGTATTTAGGATCACGGGAGTCCCCAGAGCTTGAGTACGGTCACAACCATGACTATTAAGGTGAAGGACGCCGACGACCAGAACCCATCATTCACGCACAAACTCTACACAGCCCATGTGACAGAAACTCGAGTTATAACTGTAAGAATATTTCTGTTAAACCTTTTTATAACATAAAACTAAGTTATAACTGAAAGAATATTTCTGTTAAACCTTTGTTATAACAGAAAACTAAGTTATAGCTGAAAGAATATTTCTGTTAAACTTTTTTTATAACAGAAAACTAAGTTATAGCTGAAAGAATATTTCTGTTAAACCTTTTTATAACATTGTTTGTTTTTTTGTTTGTTTTTTTATTTATGCACAAAGCTACACAAGGGCTATCTGTGCTCTGCCCACCACGAGTATCGAAACCCGGTTTCTAGCGTTGTAAATCCGCAGACATACCGCTGTGCTACTGGGGGGCTTTTATAACATAAAACTAAGTTATAACTGAAAGAATATTTCTGTTAAACCTTTGTTATAACAGAAAACTAAGTTATAGCTGAAAGAATATTTCTGTTAAACTTTTTTTATAACAGAAAACTAGCTCCCCAGTGGCACAGCGGTATGTCTGCGGACTTACAACGCTAAAATCTGGGTTTCGATACCTGTGGTAGGCAGAGCACTGATAGCCCATTGTGTAGCTTTGTGCTTAATTACAAACAAACAAACATAAAACTAAGTTATAACTGAAAGAATATTTCTGTTAAACCATTTTCATAACAGAAAACTGTAATAACTGTACGAATATTTCTGTTTTATCTTTTTAATAACAGAAAACTAAGTTATAACTGAAAGAATATTTCTGTTAAACCTTTTCTTAAACGCGGCCCAAGCTATCATAATAACGTTCTATTTTAGTATAGAAATGCCTACTTGTAACTTATAGGCTTATTTTTTTATAAGATCCCAGGGAACTTAAGGTGTACGGTGTTATTGGATTCGGAAGTATATAACACATTAACAAAAAATACTAGGCATACATGATTCAGTTAACCATGTTTACTGGCATGTTTCTAATCTTGTTAATAATCAACGGTGAGTCTCCGGACTTACAACGCTAACATCCGGGGTTCAATTCCCTACGGTGGACACAGCGCAGATAGCCCATTGTGTAGCTTGGCGCTGAAAACTACAACAACGTGTTCGTATTGCTTATTTTTGTGTGTTTGTGGTTGTGTTTACAAATCCTCGGCCTTCTTTCAGTAAGAAAAATGAAGTAACTAAAAGAAAATACAGGCAAATCAATTATCAGGTGCAGACGTTTTATGTTACATATTATGAACGAATTATGAAACGCTGAAATTCAGGGCTCGATCCTTGTGGCGGGAATTGCACAAATAGCCCATTGTGCAGCTTTGTGCTTAATAACAAACAAAACACTCAATCCCTGAAGAAAGAACAATTAATAAATGACTCATTCTAATTCCTTGGGGGATAATCCACAAGCCCCATTCTAACCCCCCGAGGGTAATCCACAAAACTGTGTAAAATTTAATTGAAACTCTGATGCACTTATCGAAATTTTCAACTTTTTGAAAAAAAAATTCACGAAATGAACCTGGCGGTCTTTCTATTTTCGATTTGTACAAGTTTCTTACGTTTTATTCGGTGGCTGTATTTACACCTCTCTGATTTTGGAAATCGTTTATCAGTAGAACTTAAAAATACATACAAAGGAAATTGTTATTTTATTAATTAATTGGCAAAATCTAAATCCATCTTAGGGACAGATTTCAAAACAAAACCTCGGCATGGCCAGGTGGATTAGGCGCTCGACTCGCAATCTGAGGGTCGCGGGTTCGAATCCCCGTCCCACCAAACATGCTCGCCCTTTCAGCCGTGGGGGCGTTATAATGTAACGGTCAATCCCACTGTTCGTTGGTAAAAGAGTAGCCCAAGAGTTGGCTGTTGGTGGTGGTGATGACTACCTGCCTTCCCTCTAGTCTTACACTGCTAAATTAGGGACGGCTAGCGCAGATAGCCCTCGTGTAGCTTTGCGCGAAATTCAAAAACAAACAAACACGCAAAACAAAACTCAGATTAAGTAGTGGAAAAGTAAGATAGAAAATGAACTATATTTCTATTTATTGTTACACGAATGCTGACTTTACTTGTAAGTTATGTTTTTCACTAAAAGATTAAAGGCTTTTGAGGCTAGAAAAGAAACCTTCGAAGTTCTGTTGATCAATTTTTGGCGAATCTTCAGGCCTGAGTACTATATGTCAAAACAAGTGTGTTGTAGACGAAATATCTTAAGTAAATCATTAAAAGTGCAACGAATATTTAATATTTTTTGCAAATGCTTCTTAAAAACTTCATAGTGAAGGCAGAGTAATGGAAAATATATTTTAATGTAGGGCGCCACCATACGGCAGAAAATCGAAGTAGAACCTCCGATTCACGCCAACGACCTCGACACTGACATTAACGCCCCTATTGAGTACAAGATAATTCTAGGTGAGTTATATTTGCTATTAATTAAACATCCATTACTAAATAAATGCAAAAAATCAAAATGGCTGTTAATTACGAAGTTGTTATATTCGAGATAAGTACATGCTGTAATGTAGGCCTACCAAAGAAGTTGATTTTACTAAATGTTGGTACTACTGTAGGTATGAATTTTGTAGAATTAATTATGTGTGTGAATTATTTTTATATTTCCCTCAAGCCACAGCCTACGGCATGTGTGAGGTCATATTGGTCAAGAGAAACGACATATTTAACGTACTCATACAGGATATCCAAAAAATTTGGAACCATTGCACTTCAACGAGGCCTGGCTTGGCCAGGTGGTTAGGGCGCTCGACTCGTAATCTGTGGGTTGCGGATTCGAATTTCCGTCCCACCAAACATGCTCGCTATTTCAGTCGTGGGGGCGATATAATGTGACGGTCAATCCCACTATTCGTTCGTAAAAGAGCAGCCCAAGAGTTGGCGGTGGGTGGTGATCACCAGCTGCCTTCCCTCTAGTCTTTCACTGCTAAATTATGGTTGGCTAGCGCAGATAACCCTCGTGTAGTTTTGCGCGAAATTCAAAACATACCAAACTAAACTTCAACGAATCTTACAGAATGTGTTCCACACGCTGTCCTTATAATTCGAAACAAGTTTGGAGAAGTTAATTCCATTCTCATTTGAACATTGCGTCATCCTCACAGTCAGTATTCTTAAATTTAGCTAACAACTTCCCAACAGCACTGTGAGTGATGTTTATCTCTCTCTCTCTCTGGATGGCGTGCCTTAAATTCGACATCATACTTCCTCTGGCACCAGGATTAACTCGACCTTCTCATGCTATGACAGCGCCATAACCAGTCACGTATCTGAAATTAAGAAAAGCTGCAAATCACATATGGTTCCAAACTTTTCGGACACTCCATAGATAAAAAAAAATTAGTCTCGCTATTATTTTATTTAACGCAATCTGTTTATAGTTCTTATATTTCCTTCCAGTTATCAACCTTATATGTTTTTTTCTTTTTATGTTACAGGGAACGATAACGATTTCTTTGACATTGAAGCACAAACAGGAGAGCTGTTTCTAATTAAAGAAATTGACCTAGAAAACCTCACCAGTCCTGTCATCAACCTTACAATTCAGGCAAGTCTTTTGCTTTTATATATAGAAGAAAAATAACTAATGTATTTTTATTTTAAATTACAAGACCAATTTTATTGCGCAAATACTGTGATGCTAAAGATGGGGCAAGTTTGATTGGTCCAATGCTGTCATGTTAAAAAGGCGTCTAGTTTTTATTGGTCAAGTGCTGTGATTTAGAAGAGACGATACTCCTAGTTTTATTGATAGAGTGTCGTGATGTTGAAAATACACCTAGTTTTATTGGTCAAGTGCTGTGGTGTTGAAGATACGCCTTGTTTTATTGGTCCAATGCTGTGATGTAGAAGCTACATCCAGTTTTATTGTTCGAGCGCTGTGGTGTTGAAGATACGCCTAGTTTTATTGGTCGAGCGCTGTGGTGTTGAAGATACGCCTAGTTTTATTGGTCCATTGGAAAATAATGGCAAACTCCCGTTTGTACACTCCAAATTAAAACTGTTTCTTCCAATTCTTTCATCATATGTAAAATGTAACTAAAAGAGGAAGACGGATACAGACCCAACTTTTACGTTTTTATTGAAGATAATCCTCGTTGTGGTCGATTTTGATTTTAAGGATTTATTCTATAATGCCTGGTAATTATAAGGATAACTCTGTAGAAGATAAATCAATGAGGTGGACAACGAGAAAGAGGATTTCGGGTCTTAGTCAATATATCTTCTTTGTAAACATTAGGTAAGCTGATGGGATTACATACCTTTATCCAAGTGAAATTATTCACGAAATGAGTTGTCTGTTTCCTGAAATGACGTCAATTTAGAAGCTTATACTTCTTAATAAACCTCAAACAAGGCAGATTCTGAATTTTATTTTTCACGGCACAGAATTTTAACGACAACTTAGTTGCTTAGCCACGTTTTCTGTGAAAAACTACGCCATGTGACTAAATGACTCTACCCAACTATGCAGGGTGTCCACCCTTTTTGTCTCTTCCCGCCCTTTTCCTGACCTTTTATGTATCTTGAGGTATGTGGAACACAAACAAATAATATGCATTTTTAGGTCTATAATGTATTCAATCTTGAGACTGATTTATATCTTGAAAACAACTTTAATAAACTATTTATATCTTGAAAACTACTTTAATAAACTATTTATATCTTGAAAACAACTTTAATAAACTGCTTACATCCTTTCGTGATTTTGCTGCTGTTTTTTTAATATAAATATACCTTTATTAGTTCATCTAGTAAGCTATGAGTTTATTAAAGTTGTTTTCAACATATAAATAGTTTATTAAAGTTGTTTTCTAGATATAAATAGTTTATTAAAGTTGTTTTCAAGATATAAACAGTTTTTTAAAGTTGTTGTGAAGAAAACAACCGAGCTGATGTTTTCTTGTAATTTTTAGACTAGCACGAATACTTTTTTGAGTGTTTCCTTTTTGGTTGTGGGTACAGCTGACCGTCTACCAGTGTGTGTATTATGACCTTCTTCTGCCTGTGGGTACAGCTGTCCTTTTGTCCGTGGCTATAGCTGAACTGTCTGTGGGTATAGCTGACTTTCTACCAGTGGTTATAGCTGACCTTCTGTCAGTGGGTACAGCTGAACTATCTGTGGGTATAGCTGACCTTCTGTCTGTGGATACAGATAACCTTCTTCCAGTGGGCACAGCTTACCCTCTGTCTGTAGGTACAGTTAACTTTCTGCCATAGGGTATAGCTGACCTTCTGTCAGTGGGTACAGCTGAACTGTCTATGGGTACAGCTGGTCTTCTACCAGTGGGCACAGTTGAACTGTCTGTGGGTATAGATGACTCTTTGTCTGTGGGTACAGTTAACCTTCTT